GGAGGTATTGTCTTCCTCTCCAGAAGAGGGCCTGATGCTTTTTAAGCAACCAAGAGGCATGAACGGTTTCAAATTCATAGTCTTCATATCCATCTGTGTGGTAGTTGCTGATGCCACCATCTTCATAGGGTTTGATTGGCAGAACATTTAAAAGACCCTTATGCCTTTTATCATTAAAATTTGATTGATTGATAGAGTATTAGGCAGAGTATTTACTAAATGTCAATGCTCTCAAAAAACTCCACTCTCAAATGAAGATTTTCCAGATCATTGACCTCTAAATATTTTTACAAAAATTAAAATTATATAACAAATTTATTTTAAATTACATCAAAAATAAATTATATTAAATTTTAATTATTTAAATTCATATTTATCATTATTTTATTTATTCTGTTATTTTAAGATAATTTTATGATATAATATTTATTCAATTAAATATAATTTAAATTCGAACAAATTATAAAAGAATTTTATGATATAATTTATAAATATAATATATACAATCATTTCAATAAAAATAAATATACATAATTTCTGTAATTAAAAAAAAAATATACTGTATATATTAATATTTATCAAATTTTTATATGTTCTATTATTTTTTAAAATAAATTTTAATAAAAATAGAACTTAAATATTAAAATTTATATTTATAAATATATTTATATTTGCCTTAAAATGAAAATTTAATATATACCATTAATTAATTTGTCATATTATTTATTAACTAGTATTATAATAAAATAATAATTTAATAACAAATTTAAAAATTGATGTTATAACTTATTACTAATATATATATTGTATTAGAATACATATAAATAAGTAAAATAAAAAAAATTATTTTAATTTTATATCTAATCATTCACAGATTTGCCTATCATTTAAAAGACAAACTGCTCCAGAGCCTTAGGCTACTGTTCATCAAAAACTTATACCAATCAAAGCTATAGTCTTTATCTCCATCTCTGTGGTAGCTGCTGCTGCCTCCAGTTTCAAAGTAGACGCCTTCACTACCATTACTATTCTCTGTTTCCTCGCTCAAGAGCCGTACACCGCACTCAATAATCTTGTGGCTATGACTACAGCTGAATTCAAACAGAATCTCATTCGCAGTCACATCCACTTTAGGTGTTGCTCGAAAGTTACCCCCACATATAAACAAATGTTTCATTCGATGAGGAAATACATGCATTGCCTTCCACTTATGTTCCGTAATGATGACACCTCCTTTGGTTATTAGACGACAAGATATATCAAGATGCCAGTCATCGATTGGCGAAAGCAGAAGACAAGCCCTAAATCTTAATCTCCAGTATGAAGAGAAAGACCCAGAAAAGATAGTTATGGAGTTTCCTGTAGCTTTGTGAATAAATTCTGCAGGGATTTTCTTACCTGGTAAGAATATAAACCGGCCAACCCTTTGCTGGAAAATTACCCTCCTCGCATCTTCGTTCAGTTTACAACAATTGTGGAACATGAGTTCCATGCTATGATCATTACAAGGGAAACATACTCTTTCAAGTGATCCACAATTGCTTGCATCTATGATATGCAGCGAAGGGGGAAGACCCTGTAGTGACACGAGTTTTCTGCACTCCTGGACGAAAAGACTTATTAGTTGAGGGAGACCCATGACACAATCTGGAATCCTCTCTAGACCACTATTGCTTAGGTCTAGATGTCTTATACTTCTTGGGACATGTATTAATCTCTTGAGGTTTCTGCTGCCTATTTGAAACAACTCAAGACGAGGCAAACGTGCAACAATTGATGGCTGAACTTCTTCTATATCAGTTCTGTTAACATCGAGTTCCTTGATGTTCATAGAAATATCTGGAAACATTCTCAATCGTGAACAATTACGCATGTTGATTTCCTCAAGAGATGCTAAGTTGATGTTGGTTGGAACAACTTGTAGCTCTTCGCAGTAACTCATCGTTAGCTTTATCAATTTGTGTAGATTCTTGATAGACGAGGGAAGCACCACCAAACTTCTGCATCCCTCAAGTGTCAATGTCTCGAGATTAGTAGCCTTTGAAAGATCTGGGATTTCTATCAAATTTTTGGAATATGCCAAATTTATATTCTTGAGATTTGCAAGAGGCTGCGTTTTCAAACACAACAAATGAGAAATATCTTATTTGGATTGAATCATTAGAAACATATTTAAAGAATATAAAATACCAACCTGGTCACCTTCCCAGAGCTTCTTGAGATTGCTTGATGGCATATGGAATTCGACGAGACGTTCAGGCTGAAATGTTAGAGGAAGACTTTTCCTCGGGTATGAACTCCAATGTAAAAACCTTAGACGAGGCAGATATTCCATGTCTTCCGACATCTGCAATGCACTAATATATCTCCCATAAATTTTCAAGAATCGGAGATTAGACATTCCTTCAAAGGCTCGCCCACTAATGGAGAACTCGCTCATCTTGGACGTATCAAATGATATACCTAAGACAGATACAGTACCCTAACAAATGTTCCAAGGGAAGATTGATGAAACTGTTATCACATAGCCAAAGAAATTGTTGATCAAATTCTATATATATAGAAACTTACTGTTTTATTTGCCAGCACATCATGAATCTCTTCCGCATCTTCTAAAAACTGACGTTTCCCGGGCTCATCAGACTGCTCACGAACTATTTGTCTGCCCAATTGTTGCAGTAAACAATGCATCGTTATCCACCCACTAGTCGACACATACACGAGAGATTTATCGGCAAGGGTCTCCAACCCATTTCTCACATCCAAGTTACTATCAGCTAGCATGGTTGTCACATAATCAACAGCTTGATCGTTGAAGAAGCATGCAATGTGGAGAAATAGAGACTGATCTTTCTTCAATAGTTTGTCATATCCAACTTTTAATACGTCCTCAATTTTTCTATCAAGACTACTTTCTAGCTTAGATAGTTGACATTCCCACTCATCCCTGCTGTCCCCACGCAAAGATACACCCACAACATGAAGGCCTAACGGAAGATTACCGCAAAGATCTGCTATTTTCTTTGCAAGCTCTTCAAAACCATCCAATGGAGAACTCTGTTTGAAAGCAGACAGGCATAAGATCTCAAGAGCTTCTTCTTCGGATGGATAACCCACATGGTAGATATCTTTTCCCCAATGTGCCTTCAATATCTTTCTGTCTTTCGTGGTAATGACGATCCGACTTCCTAAACCGAACCAAGATGGTTCTTCGGCCAAGGCGTCTAGTTGTTCAAGATCATCTACATCATCAAGAACTATAAGGACTCTTTGGTCTTGTAACCATTCTTTTATTGCACCTAAATGACGTATCTCCAAATCCTTTTGCTTCAAAATCTTGGACAAAAGTTGGCTTTGTAAACAACACTTTGAATCATAGTCATTAATACCGTTGCTCCCATAACTTCTCTTGAGATTTCCCATAAAACAACTAAGTGTAAAATCGGTAGAGAGTTGGTTGAATAAAGCTCTGGCAATGGTAGTCTTACCAATTCCCGCAGGACCCTGAATTCCAATCATCTTCACATCATCGCACTGGAGGCATAACAAAGAGTTCAGATTTGTCAAGTGAGCTTCCATTCCCACCATGCCGTCAAAATCCTTGGATGGTGTAAGATTCAGTTTGTTTGAAACATCAGCAGCAATCTTTTCGATCATCTTAGCTTCATCTTCCCTAAAAAAAGAAAGGAGTCTAAATTTTAAGAGACACCACCATTGAAGCATTTGTTTAAGAAAGCTGAAACCACTAATTCATTCAGAGACAACAAAAAAACTACATACCCATGTAAATAAACTAAATTTAATGGAAGACAAAAGAAACAAATGTTCTCCTGCTATGTTTACAGAGACACAACCGTTGAAGCATTGCTTAAAAAATGAAAGCACTAATTCAATGGAAGTCAAAAGAATCTACATACC